AATGCTTTTGAAGTGAACTATTTTTAAAGCATGTAGTACATTTACAAAATCAAATTATGAAATATAATATATGTATAAACAAAAGTATAAAACTTATTACAATAATAAAAAAACAATTATAATAGATATTATATAGCGGCAATGTTTTAGGAGCTTCCTTCCGCTGACAATTTTTTCGCAAAGCTCTTTATTTATTTTTTATTTAAGCGTGGCAATTATATTTACATACAAATATTTTTTATTGCTTAAATATAATTGCATTAAATATATTCGCATGTAAAACTCTGAAGACTCGCTGGTTAATGATGGCATTCCTTAAAGCGTAACAGAGACGTGCGTAAGCGAGGCTTGTGTAAGCGCGTTGCAGCGAGCGCCCTATAGCGTGAAAATAATCACTTTTTAATTTAGTAACGGTGATTTCAAAACAATCAAGCAAGCAAAATTTATATGCAGAAAAAAGCACATGTCACGTTCACTGTAAAACACGTTTATTTAATTACCTTTTAGCTTATCTCAATAGTACACAAAATCCGTATGCTTTTTTTCACCGCACAAGGCAACTGAAAGCAACTAGACAATATACATACATATGTATTTCAAGTTACGCAAAAACAAAAAATTTCACAATCTTTTTAAACCACTTAAAAAAGTACACTTCTAGACAATTTGTTTCTACTTTTATTTTATATTTTTCTATTATTTTTATTTTATTTTATTTTTCCACATTTTTTATTTTTTTATTTCACAAGTAATTTTTTTGTAAAAACTTCAAACACTTTTTCTCAATATATTTTCGGTACAAAAAACACACACTCGCATTGCGCTTTACTTCGTTACAGTGTAAGTTTCGTTGCTTTGTGAACACTTAATGCACTGCTGCCTGCACCGGTTTACTATAATAGTTAACGACCAATTAAGTCAGCAGTCAGCAGGCGTTGAAAAAAATGCCAACGCCTACAACAAGCGACAAATAAGCATTAGACACGATTTGATTTGGCGCATCTAGTCGCAAGTAGAAGTAGTAATTTGATGAAATGCTTAAATTTCTCAATTCGAAGCTTCTATAACACATGTGTAGTAGGTGTATGTGTGTTTTGTAGATGCGCAGGCTGCGCTTGATTAACTTCTCAAGACGATGATGTAACTTCCTTCATGCGCAGTTGCCTAGTCAAGGCATATATAATAGATATTTATGTATAGACATGATTTATAAAGATCACCACACCCTCTAAGGGTTATGTTCATTACCAAGTCAGAAAAGACGCGCTTTTTTCTTTTGTGATGCTTTTTGAAGTCATTTTATTTAATAATTAAAAAGAAAATAACGTTAACTTCGGCTGCTCCGAAGCTATAATACCCTTCACGTAAAAGAATTTCTTTCAAGAACTTTATTCGGTCAGTTCGTATGACAACTAGATATATGTTTTAGTGGTCTGATCTGAATGATATCTTTTAAGTTTATACCGATGCTTGGACAATAGGTTAGGTTAGGTGGCTGATCAAAGTTGGCACGTGGACTCCGAAATGTACTCCTTTTTGAAGTGATAGAAAATAATAATTCCTATGTTCGAAATTATAAATTAGCAAAACACTAAGTAGACAATATAAATTTGCACAGGCGTTTAATTTCCATTCCCGCCAACTCGTTGGGTTGTCTGAAGGTAGGTAGGTAGGATTCTCAGCCTTACTGCGTGGACGCCAAATAGGTCAATAGCACGTAAAAAGCCCCAAATCTAAGGAGAGGCTAGCCTTACTGAAAGCAAAGAGACTACTAGATCTCTTGCCATCAATCTTGGGCTATATGGCTTTGGCGAAAGCTCATGTACCGATGGTGTCTCTCACGGTAGTCGGGAACCGGATTTTTATCCGACCATAGACTATCAACTCGGTAGAATTCTGTCGCTACAACAATAACAACAACATAGTGGCCCAACTCTTTCTAAAGATATCTCATTAAATAAAAAGTTTTTCCATAATTAATTAATTCCGAAAGTGGTCCGATTCGTTGGGTCCAACAAATGATCAGTGGTAGAAAAGGACGTGTGCAAAATTTCATATCAATATCTCAAAAACTGAGGGACTAGTTAACATATAGATAGACAGACGGACATAGCTAAATCGATCCAGCTTACCATGGTGATCGTTTGTATATATATTTTTTGTAGCGGTCAGTGAACTATGATGATAGTCCTGCCGACTAATGAATTGGCAGAAGTGGTGCAAAATTGGAAGAATTGATCGTATTTATAAGACATGACCATATGTCTGAAATTCTGTGGAAACACTAAACCAAATCTCCTACAAATATTGCAATCTGACCATATACATATATGATTAATCACATATAGTCAGTAAGTTAACAAACATAAATTCGACTCTAGGGGAGAATATAAATTCAGGAGCTAACCGAGTTTGGAGACACCACCGTTATTGGGGGTATTTCTTTATCTATGACATTTTTAGAATTCTTTCCAAAAATAATCTTTCCTAAAGGCGTGATTTTTTTATTTTGTGTGTGGAACCAAATTAATTATCTATGTATACTAACAAACTAGGACAACCTTGAAACTCAACTATACAGCTGTAAGTACATGCGGTCATAATGTTAACGACGTACATACATAAGTATGTATATGTATTTATAGACTAAAAATACTATACTCGTAGATAATATTTACATCTGTACATACTTTTAGTAGTATTATTATTATGTAAACAACTTTTAGGTGTAATACAGTTAGCTTAAACTCACTTTCTGTCTGACCGTCAACAAACCAACAATTCGACGCGTGGTTCCCATTGCTATCATCAAAATTAAATAATTAAGTACTCTATAATATGAGTATTACACAGTACTTTGTTTGATAGTACTTTGTTTGAATTCAGCTTACTAATAACGCGAGGCACGTACGATATCTGTTTTGTATTTAGAGATTAACAGCTTTTCACTAATAAAAAACTAAAATAGTTAAACAAAAATATTTTTCTTTTTTTTTTTTTAAAGATAACGGTTATAAGTATACCCGATTGTAGGAAAATATGCCAATTTGTGCTATTAAACTATTTATGAGCAAATATGAATATGCAAGTTTAATATTGACAAGCAAAGTAAAGGTACTACCAGGTTCCAGTTTTAGAAATAGATAAGTATTTATGAAATATGAAAGTATTTAAACTTATATTTGCAAGGCACACTTAATTCAGGTCGTTTATAGACTTTTTTAAAGCCATATAGTATTAGCCATCACCTCTTGGTCACGTTTAAAAATTACTGTTTTTCTAAAAGACTTATTGAAAATTTCATTCAAGTATGCAGTATAATAAAACAATATAGTTTTCATTACATTTTTCTGATTTTAAAATGTTGATCTAAAATAATTTATAGTAGTTCAACATTCAGTGATCAAAACTCTAATACAACCTTTATATTATATTTATATCCCAATGACTGCCATTGGAAGTACTGCCTCTCTTTGTATAAAGCAATTTAACTCAAAATAGAAGATTGTGCCAAAAATACTTGCTCACAGCCATGGCTTTGTCGAAGAAACAAACACTATTAATTTGAAGTGCAATGGCATTTGGATTTTCAGAAGTATGAGCACATTACTACAGGCCACAAAGTATGTATATACAGAGTAATTCCACGTCAATCCCATGTACATAACCGCAACAAACTCAATTTTTAAGTTAAAACCCGCCAACAACACTCATCCTAATTATTTAGAAAATATTTCATAACCTGCAAAGCAACAAAAATCACATGCATACATATGTATTGTATTTGTGATTAAAAAACCAAATTAATTATAAATACTTGCTACTTCAGATAACAAAACTAATTTAAGATATTTTAAACAACGATACGGCTAACAACATATTACAGATTTATTTGCTAATTTCAATAACTCATTATCAGCATCAGATTAGTAAACACATTGATTGACGGTAATAATTGTGTTCAAAACACTTCTAAGGACAAGGCACGATAGAACGAAATTTTCCATTTAAAACTTTTTATTAATTTAGGGTAGCGTTAAAAAAAGTTTATTTATAGCAAAAAATATAATATAGAAACAGTTGTTCATAATTTCTAACAATAATTAATTCAGTTAACATAATACACACTAGGGTGCTTGAAACATTCTTTTTTTTTCTTTTTAACTCTTTCCCCCTCTAATGTTAGTGATAGACAAACAAAAAATCCTCCCTCAAGCCAGGCACTGTAGATTAACTCTAAGGGGTTGCTATTTTTTTTTTTTTTTCTTAGGTTCCCATACATTTATAATAGGAATTTTCGTTTCTTCATTCAAACTAAAATTTTACCAACTAATTTTCGTTTCTCAAAAATAACCATCACTTATTCAGAAAGTTCACTTTTCAAACTTTAAAAATTTCTACGACAAAGTTTGATTATCTCAATTAGGCGATTAAACATAGTGATTTGAAATTTTTTATATTCAGAAAGTTCACTTTTCAAAATTTGAAAATTTCTGCGACAAAGTTTGATTATCTCAATTAGGCGATTAAACATAATGATTTGAAATTTTTTCAATAAAAATAAAAAAAAAGTTTCTGAGAATAACAATTTTGTAATTTTGTATACTTCAAAGAAGAGTTACAAATGTAGAGATGCACACTTTTGCAAATACGATCAATATACACAGAAAATAACAAAAAAATTTTTTTTTGGGGTGAAACAATTTATAAAATACTATCAAAGTTAACGTTATAAGTTTAAGAATTTACTTTTTGGTTGATGATGGAGCCGAAAGTATTTCTACTAAATATACATACATAAATACAAATATTTAACCAGATCATTTTATTTTAAGTTTGCCACGGAGTTTTTAACACCCAGAAGGAAACGTCGGAAACTCTGAAAGTGTATATATATTTATACAAGTAGCTGATCAGCGTGTCGATGTGTGTCGATTTAGCTATGTCCGTCTGTCTTTATATACGCGAACTAATTTCCCAGCTGCCATACAAATTTTACCGTCAAAGTCATGTTCTTGTAAGGCAAATATTTTTATTATTGATAAGACATCTGCACGAAATTTGACATAGATTATTGCCCAAGTCAATGCTACAATCTCCAAGCATAATGTTTAGAACTGCCATAGAAAATTTAACGAACAAAATCTAGATAAATTTTTTGTTATAACCCTTTACTTCGTGAAGGGTATTGTTCCTTGTTTCAAGCTTCAATAATACTGGAAAATATATATATACCGACTTTCGAAACTCAATACATCGCATTTACGGTTCCTTGACTTAATACCCATACCGTAATGTTCTATATATACATTTATACCAATATTTATGTATATAATAGCCATATGTATATTGTCATTAAATACATTTGTTAATACATATATAGACGCATTACGTACACGTTTAAAGAGAAATATTTATTAATTTGAACAGTTTTGCAAAGCAAAAAGTGTTGGCAAAGCAAATTATTTACCGCTTTCGCGTTGCTTTTGCCAATTGCAATAAACTGGTTATCAGCTAAATCCCTACATACATATGCATGTGAGTGTATATATTACATTCATAGCACACACGTTCACATATATTTATGCCTACCTGATAATCGGAAAACAGTTGCTGATAAATACGCGA